AAAGACCAGCGTCATAAAAATGATAAGTCATTAACAACAATTTCCTCTAACTTTAATTAAACATTTGAACATAATTTCCTTAATTTAAAGAAAAAAACAAATTGGAATAAATTTATCTTCTGCAAAACGACTCGGAATTAAGAAGTGTGAGTACTAGTATTCTACGAAATTATAGTGTTTGTCATTTTGAATCGCCATTTTGAGCTAATAAACTCATTGCAAATTTAAACGATTAAATTTTCCGAATTTTCCGAATAAAAGTGCTCTATTGTCATTTTCGTAGTTTTACTACGCTCAGTAAGATATCCATAAATCCTTTCTCCTACTTAAACATTAAGAAATAATTTGGAAAAAAAAGAATATCCGCCATTTTGAATCGCCATTTTGACTTATAACTTACAGCAGCACCAACATTCAGTTGTGGAATAGTGATATGCAGAGGGAAAAAATACCAGTCTGCAGTGTATGGATATTTGCAAATCTAAAATCCTGAACAAAGCAGAATATAGAAACGATAGACAAATAAATCATAGAAAATTCGAATTAAATGTAGAAACGACTTAATTTTCTGAGTTAAAGTTATAATATTAACAATCAGTTATCATTTTCATAGTTCCATTACACTCAGTGAGATATTCACTCATTATTTCTCTGTTTTGAAGGACGTTGAGAGAAAATTAGAAAAATTGGATGTCCGCCATTTTAAATCGCCATTTTGACTTTTCTAACTCCATTTTCAAGAAGATCAACATATTTCTTTGGATTCCGCGGAAATTTGTCCAAGCGTACTTAATATAAATGTAAGGCATATAGTGACAGTCTAGGAAATCCGCGTAATTTTCTACACGCGGATTCAAAAGAAACTGATCTTCTGCGTAATTATGACCCCATGGAAAAAATTACGCCTACAGTATCTAAAAATCTGAAATGATTTAAGGTAAAAATGGTACTTACATTTCTGTATGTGAAATGCCTGGACATAGTTCTTAAAATTAATCCACATTGAAGAACACATATTTATTATTAAAACTTTCTTTCTAACATAAAATCTTCAACGCTCTGCTGAAGGAAACATCCGAGATTAAATATTAGGCGTGTTAAGGACAGATGATATAAACAAAAAATGGATACCTGGATTTGTATATTTTTTTTTGGCCTAATTTCATTGAAATTGATGCAAATAATATATTTCTAAAATATAAAAATATGTAAACCAAGAAAATTTTACTTCTGAACTTGATAAAAACGTTACTTCTGGTTTGATATGGATTTTCGGCCCGCTGGTCCAATATGTGATATGGATTTTCGGACCGGTCCTTGATATGGGGTATTGTGACGTCATCCGTATCACGCTGTGCAGAATCGGTGTATTTATTTAAAGCCCGAGATAATAAGCACCGCCCTCAGATTTACCTGGTCTGTATCCCCCTGTCAATCAAATAAATTAAGATCCATCATTGGGTACTTGAAATTGATTGACATTTAGCTACTAGTCCCTGTGTATATCTCTTTCACCTTGTTTGACACGCGTTTGACACCATCAAATAAACTTTCGGTCTTCTGATGGTTACCGCGAAATTACTTTATGATACCGTCGTCGTCGCGAATTTTTCACAATAGGATACGGAATGTACATTTGATAAAAATAGGACCACGCGACTTTTTTATACAAACTGTAAATATTTGACCGTGATCGAAACTCTAATTGCTACTATATTTACAATAATAATGAATAGAAGATTTTGAAAGGGACAAGCAAGTATGAGAATCTTACTTTTGAATTAATACCTGTATTTCATTATTTTTTTTTAACAACGAACTACAGTCTGTCCTGCTCTCACTTTCAATGTAAGGTAAATATATATCGTAGATTTTTTTTTTTAAACAAAAATCGATTTCTGCTTGTTTAATATTAGATATAAGTGATTATGGAATTTTACAATTATCATTTATCATACTAATGATATTTGTTTTATTTACGATGTCGCGATCAACTAATTTTATAATGAACAGTAGTCCAACAAGCTGTACAAGTAATACTCAATGGACTTCCTGTGTTTGTGTATAGGGATTAGCCTTTTTGACGGTCTGCACGACCGTCAATGCCTTGGGGTGCCACGCATGTAAAATTAAGTCCCTCCCATTTCCTGACAAAACCGTACGGTTAAAAATCTCGTCCTTTAAAGGGGGGGATAAGCACCTCCTTCGAATTAACCTGGTCTTGGAACCCCTGTCAGTCATCTGAAATTAAACCTGGGATTGTGTAGCGGACATTATATAGGGAACTTATACTGTCTCGCCAGTGAGCTAGCTTTTCTGGTGATGCGGTAGAGTCTCTCTCTATTTCAGGCAAGTTAAGCAACGGCGAGCCTGTTAAACCCTTGGATTGGTGACCGCTTCACGTTAAAAAAATGGTGGCAGCGTAGTTAATTTGGTGTCTGGCGTCCTTCTTCAGGAAGTCTTAGAGTTAGGACTTTGTGTGTCCACATACAGACTTTGTGTCTGTGGACGGCAGGGGTTGCCGTATCTGAAGTCAGGTTCTGATCTGCTTCAGGAAGCTCTAAGACTAGGACTTTGTGTCCAGGTACGGACTTCGTGTCCGGGAACGGCATTGATTGCCGAGGCTGAGGAGACTCAGATACTCAGAGAGAACTCATGCTAAGCTTCGGGTCGAAGCTTCCCTGAGCGGGGGGAAGTGTAGCGGACAGTATATAGGGAACTTATACTGCCTCGCCAGTGAGCTAGCTTTTCTGGTGATGCGGTAGAGTCTCTCTCTATCTCAGGCAAGTTAAGCAACGGCGAGCCTCTTAAACCCTTGGATGGGTGACCGCTTCACGTTACAGATTGAATACTTTGATTTGATTGACATTTAGTTTTTGCCGTTGTGTACATCTTGTGTACCTTGTCTGGAGATCGTACCGACCATCGAATTAATATTCAGGCTTTTAATGCCGAACGAATTTTCTTACATGATAAAGAAGGAATCAAAACGTTCCTTTTCAATGCATAGGAATTACGCCATAGATTAATTGATTGATTGTGTGTTGTTTAACGTCCCTCACGAGAATTTTTCACTCATATGGAGACGCCACCACTTGCCGGTGGAGAGCTACAAATTTTGTTCTATGCTCGGCACTCAGGGCCTTTGAGCAGTGAGGGATCTTTTTCGTGCCAGCACCTACTGCGACATGGGGCCTCGGTTTATACGGTCTCATCCGAAGGACTGGTCTCCACGTCCCACAGTGGGATTCGAACCCGCGACGTAAGGATTGACTCCTTTCTTCGCGACTCTAAAGCAGACGCTCTAACCACTGCGCCACGCGGGGGACAAAATTATGCCATAGATATAATTTATCTGACAAATGATAAAATAAATGATAAGAAAAACCATGCCTTTATATAATAATTTTAATTTTTAAAATGGGGATTTCAATTACAATCGATAATTTTAATTTGTCAAAACATGAGTGAACGTACATTTAGTCCACCATAATTAAGAAAGAAACTCGACCCGCGTATGAAGTCAAATTTGGCTTAGTAGAAAAACACAGCGAATGTAAATATTACTAAGTATATGTTAAACTATAATAGCACTTGCTGTTCAGCATGACAGTCATTTATAGGTCGGAGTTTTACTATTACACCATGTTTATGCAGTTTCAAAAAGAGAGCATATCAACTTACAAAAAATAAAATGCTTTGTTACTGTCTAAAAAACTAACATAAACATTGCTACCCTGTTCTAAGAAGATGGGCGTATTTGGCGTGTGATCTACAGGAATCATTTGTACGAAACTTTTAAGTTTTAAATGTCAATGATTTGGTTGGCTGACCATAGCTGGTCAGATTTTACAAACAGTCATATGATTTTTTTTCACTTAGTTTGAAAGTGAACTAAGTTTAGAAAACACTCACTTTCGGGAAAATATTTTCCTTTCCCATTTCATTGGAACCCGATAACTAAAAATTGTTAAAATTTCATGTGAATTGTCGATAAATTTTCAAGTACGCCCAGATTCCTGTCGAATGCCAATATCAAAAGCCCCCTCGTTCTTTATGGGACATTTTATTTGTTTCATGTGAAATTGAAAGACGCTTTCGAACAAAATAGCTTATTTTGAAAACCTTGCTGTTGGAGATCAGAGAACACTTTATTACATGTACCAAAAACAATTTAAAACATGTTCACAAATGGGATTATGAATGACATACTCTAAAAAATCTTTAAGAGTCATGACAATAAAGAAAGAACTCAGTAGTTATTGCAAGAGGTTTCGGATCCCCCTTATATAGTGGTACAATGTAACCTTGCTTCCATGAGAAGACTACAAAACAACACAATAGCATTAAACAGTTTTATCCCATGTTTACCCCTTTATCCCTTGAATATAGCTCATGTGATATCCTTATTTATACCTCTACTGTAATTACTCTATATAAAAGTAATACCATAAAACTGCCTATTTCCCCGAGAAGAGAATTTTTCACTCATCCGAGGACTACTCCCTGGAAAATCAGAGCTACTCCCTGGGACTACTCCCTCATGAATATTTATTAGTAATTATTAGTAATTTTGACCAATCAAAGTGTTTAGTGGGCGGAGCGTTCAAGAAATCTCGAGTCTGTGACGTCATGTAATTAGCAATGTAACTTTGACGTCAAAACATTTCAACATGCGATGTCAAAATCATACTTGAATTCTAGCAAAATGAAGATAACGTTATATCTTCGAAATGTCAGTGAAAATACTTTTGAAAAATAATTTAATTGTTTTAGGACACGATTCATTACTTATCATACAATCTGTTTAACCGCATGCATTTGTTATTATGCCTCTATAGTGTTTTTTTAAATCTCTGGTAAAAAAAAATTAAATCGCCTATGATTGTTTCGGTATAATAAAACAGTTATGGAATGGGTACGAGGGAAATAGCAAATTTATGGTTCCCGTCGGCAGAAAACTTCGCCGCCTCGGGAAATAGTTTCCTTCCTCGGGGAACCATAAATTTGCTTTTTCCCTCGTACCCATTCCATAACTGTATACTATTCCACAAAAGGTATGCCACTCGTGAAATTTATGACGTCACAATGGTTTTTGCGTTAGCGTGATGCAGTAAAAATAAAGTGGAGTCCTATATATAAAAATAGTTTAAAACATCATCTGGGAAGTATTTAACAATGGAATCTCCCAAGATTTGCAGTTGGATATACCTTTTATCCAACTCATTGTGTGTTTTCCCTCGCTAACGCTCGGATTTAAAAATCACACAACTTGATGAAAAAAAATCTCATCCAACTTCAAAGTATTTCAGATCCTATATTTATCCCATGTTTACCCTTCATCCCGTGGATATAGCTCATGTGATATCGTTTTCGTATCCAACATCTGTGACGTCAAAATGGGTTCTGCGTAAGCATAATGAAGTAAAATAAAGAGTTCTATATAAAAACAGTGTAAAACATCGATATGATTGTAAAACACATGGGATAAAAATAATCTCACATAATTTGTATTTTGATAGGGTTTTTATCCACTCGTGTGTTTTTATCCCCTACAAATCATGTGATTTTACGGTGCATTCAAGAACACGTTCACCACCGAAGTTAACATTCTCATACATGAATTGATCCACACCATTAGTGCTTTTCTGTATTTCAGTTTGCTAATTGTGAGCTTTTAGGAACGTGTATATTTTAAAAATAAAACAAATATAATTGTATATTACATACAAACAAACAAATATGAATAATCACTAAATAATCACACACCAGCTCTCCCTAAGATTTAGAAGCCTAGCATTTTGAGGTGAACGTTCTTGAAATGCGTTTTTTCTGGCCCTTTCAATGGCTGCACTATAGGCTAGATTTGGATTTTCTCGTCTCAATCTTTCTGCGTCCTTATCAAGTATTTTATAAGCTTTAGAGTACAGTGGGTGTTCATAATAAACCGCATCTTTGTTCCTGCTAATAAGGTTTTCGAGCTCCTCGTCGAAATGATTTATCAACATTTGATCAACATTTCTATTATTTCCAAAACTAAGATATCTGTCGTTACATTTTGCACAGAGTCCTCTTATCTCCTTTGACTCCCTTATCAAATCTGGGACTTCTTCATTCTCAGCATGAGTGAAAACGACGATTGCGTATTTATAAGTTTTATCTTTTAGCAAATTTTCAAAATCCTTAAACATTTCTACATCAGACTGTTGTATTCTTTGTTCTGCAGATATAACGTAAACAATGGCATGGAATCCGGGAGATGTTACATACAAACACAGCTTCAAGTTATTTCGGAATCGGTCTCTATCTCTGTGTAATCCCTGAGCCCCTGGTGTATCAAAGACTACATATTTTTTATTATTCCTTTCAACACTTTCATATGCACACACTTCAGTCACGGGCCTAAAACTTTTTCTGCTTTTAAAAACATTTCTACCTATTATTGCGTTCCCAGTGGCACTTTTACCAGATCCAACCTTTCCTAGAAGAAGTACCCTCCTCTCTTTCGAAACATCTCCTGAAAACAACAAAGAGAAACACAATTGATAAAAAAACAATCATATCATTTAACAACAAACAAACTAATGAATTTAGTTCATCTTGATGAAAGGAACTTGAGGATTAAACTATTCCAAATACTGAAGCCGTAAAATTTTTTTTTTAATTAAAATCTTATACATTTACCATCTAAATTTTATGAAGATCTAGAAAAATTGACAATGTCGCCTGTACAACATCACTATCTTTTGATATACTTATATTCGTAGATTAAAAAAAAAATTGCGCTTTTAAACTGATTTATTTCTTATATGTTTTAGACTTTTTAAAAAAAAAATTTTATTGTTTCATTTGCCAGAAATTATTGGAGAATTTTGAGAAAGATGGGAAGTGAGAAAACAGGAAAATGTAGAGTATTGAAGAATTTGCAGATACTGCTGTTATTTTAATGAAATTGAAACAAAAGAAATTGATAAAATCTTAACACCCTTCCCTACAGTCATTTTCACGCAAAACCATTTCCTATTTCCAACACAAAATCCCGCGTATACCGTTTCCCTGCAATCACGCATTTTTCACGCACTTTCAAAGGTTCATTATTCTTCCATTTAAGGACAGATGATACAAACAAAATATGAATGCCTGGGTTGGTATATATTTTTGGTCTAATTTCATTGCAAATGATGCAGCAGATAAATTTCTAGAATATAAAGAAATTATAAACCTTCTGTGATGTTCAGAAGTCTACATCTCTGAAACCATCCTTATTAATCTATACAATTATTTTTCACTTCAAATTCCAGTTTTTGTAAAAAAAAAAAAAAAAAAAAAAAGAAAAGAAAAAGCGATATATGGTAAATGTCTGAATTGGTCCCTTAAAATGGATATCTTAATTTTACTTTATATATAGCTTTAATTTGTACAGCTATATAATTGTGCAACCTTTATTGGTCATTTTAATTTTGATCGTAATGCCGTTAATTTAGAAATATGACATCATAAAATTCACGTTTTCCCGCCATTTTAGCATATTTTGTATATACTGCTTATTTTCAAGCAGTTTTTTTTCCAGAAAATATAGAGCACAGCCTAGAATAAGCTTTATATTTTAACCAAAGATGTATCTATCCAATACTAATTAGTGACAGAAAAATGATGCATGTTACACACCATCAAGAAAAAGGCATATTTTTGGCTTTTATGTTAGATAGCAAAAAAAGCATTATTTCTCATGTCATTTACAGCTAGTGAGTGCATATAAATGTGAAAAATATATTGGAAATATTTCTAATATAATCTCTTCTACAAAATAAATATCAATAAAACATATCTGAATGTCATTCTAAAATGTTGATTTTTAGGGGGCCAAAATTGGCTCTTATCATATATACTCCTTTGAATAACAAATTTAAAACTATGCGGAAAAAGTTATTCATTTTACTCATTTAAACATGACCCAAATTGTTATTTTCACATTTTTTGACAAAAGTTTGTATCATCTGTCCTTAATACCATTTCCCATTTATTTTATACTTGCTTAAATCTCATAAATAAGAAAAGATATAATCTTTGAAATATTATGTCATAATTATTTACGCTAAATTTTAGAGAAACCTGTACCGCGCTTTAAAGTTCTTGCGGGGGAAAGGTTATGTAATATTTTTATGTCGTGGACATTACGAGAGCTGTTCGCAAATTATTGAGACACTCACTTTTACTTCATTAAGGAGAAAGATTAATTCATGAAAATTGATCAACATTTTACGAAGAACGAATAAGATAAAAATAATCTAATTTCTAGAATAATAACATAATTTCTGGTGAATTTATAGACATGCATATGTATAAGGACCTGAAGCAGACTCGCTACATCTTTGAAAGTCATTTCAGCCGGAGGTGTTTTCGCATATGAAACGATCGTAAAGCGTTTACTCTTCTCTGTTTGTTATCACATATACCATTACAAAAATCAAACTGTCACTTTTCTTAAACGATTCTTTAAAATAAAAATATGTGATGTTGCTAAATCAGTAGAAAATTTTCATGTGTGGGACACAATGACTTTGCATCATGCAGTGCCGATTATGCAACGCGGGTCAACAATATTACTGGTGTTGTAGGATAGGATCCCCCATAGCCAGTTTCCCCCCGGATATCGTACTCCAGAGTAGGACCCCCCCCGAGGGAAAAATCTCACACCAGAGCCAAATTTCCCCCTCTTTCTTTCTCAGAGTAGGATTCCCCTCTCGTTAAAGAGTCAATACAAACCACAGCCGCAAAATTTTTGTGGAAAAAGAGATTAACGACACACTGATTTTTAAAAAGCAAATGTGTTTTTTTCGAATCTCGAAAAAATGTTCTGAGCATATATATATTTCAATGTCAGTCAAAAGCTCATTAGAGCTGTGTTATTTTTAAACTACCATACTGACTTCAATAAATAAAGTTTTTCTTATCTTCAAATCATGGAATCTCAACCAAAAACATTTATCTTTCAAAAGAACTGTAAATATTCTCAAAATATGATGAAACAAACAAAAAATGGAGTTCTGGATTGGTATATATTTTGAAGGGGAACGAAATGCAAACTTGAAATGTACCTACCAAAAATTAGCTCAATATCTCCAATCGTTTAAAAAACATTGCGGAAAACCGCTAAAAAATGAAAAGGTCTTGATTCCTTTAAAGCCGCTTAACCCGAAACAGGCACATATTATCTTACACAATAAAAGTACGTCATTACATAGATAATATATAAAAATAAATTATAAGATTGATTTAATAGTTTATTACAACAATTCTCAGATCAAAAACCTTATTGACAAACAGTAGTTCCTGACGGAAGGTTAAGATCTGTTGTGAAGTCAATTTTGAAAAAAAATAAGTTTATTGGATATATCTAATAATGAGGGTAATTCAAACCCGAGTATTTTTTTCTCTATTATTAGAAGCCTTAGTCATAATACTTCTTTTCAAAATTAAGAACTTAATGGAATATAATCCATAGTAATTTTTATATTAATATGCATATTTAAAGAATAAAGGAAAATCAGATGTTTTAAATGATTTTTTAAAGGAGCTAAAATATTGTCCGTGTACAGGTAATATATGTACTTTGTTGTGAAAAAAATGCTCGGGTGTGTTCTTCATGAGATAAACATGATAAATTTAATTTTTCGAAGGTGATTTCACGCGATATCAACAATGATCAACATAGGATTATTTTTTGTGTGACCTAACAAAAATTATTTTTTTAACTTTTGAATTTTGATATCTTTTAAAAGAAAAGGACTTTGGGGATATAATTTGACAAAAGTTGAACCAATTTATGGACACTTATTTTTCAAGAAGAAAATTGAATATGTATTTTTAGCGATTAGAATGGGACCAAGCGGCTTTAAAAATTGAAGCAAAACAAAACTCAAACTTGATCTCATCAACATATATACTCTTATACCACAAATCAGCTCAATGTCTTCAAGCATTTAGAAAAAAAGTGCGGAAAACTAATTGAGACACACAGAGTGACAGGTAGACAGACAGACGGACGGACAGACGCAGATGAAACTTATTGTCCTATCCATTTTCATCATTTTTTTTTATTAAAAAATATTTTGACGGTAGCTGAGAAAAATTGGATTTAAATTTCCATGTTCATTTTTCAGGTACGTTATATTCAATACACATGGTCGCCATTTTGAAGAAGTGACACTTGTAGCAATGTGCCAACCATTCCTCCTCAGGAATAAGTAAAGCAAGTATATTCCGGGGGGGGGGGGGGTGCTCTGGGGGAAATCGCACTCTATACATTTAACTACTACACAGAATAGGATTACCCCAAGAAAATTGACTCTGGTGTGATTTCCTGGGGAGAAAAGTTGAAAAGTTATATACGTATTTAGGGGTATACCGGGAGTTTTTAACGTTGGCGTTGCATATTTTCAATATTTGATTTTGGGACTGATCCAGGTACTCCTACCATTGACACACACATATATATATATAGTATTGAAAAAAGGAAATTTAATATTTGTAAAACATTTCTTGCTTTTATTAATTTTTAGTCTTTGTCAAATGTATACGCAAATTTTTTTCGGCAAGACGTTTATTAGAAAGAAAAATATACACCATGTCTCAATAATTTCCGAACAGCCCTCGTAAATGTATGTTGCGTCACAGTGCAGCAAGTTGTAAAGAGTTAATATTTAAATACAAAATTAAAATCATCTTTTATGTTCATGTATAGAGTAATTTTATAGATATCAAGATAACCTTCACTACATCGGCTTTCGTCCGTACTTGTCGCAAAATCATGAAGACCAATATTGTCCCAGCTTTGATTCAATCCAGATTTCCCTTTGAAATAAAAGACACATGCAATGAATTCCAGTTACATAGAAATTTTGTTTTGCATTTCGAAAACAGATGTGCATAAAAACAAAAAAATTATTACAGACATATGCAACATAGCTTTAAAATAACTTTATAGTTTACTGTTTTTATGTTAGTATAAATTAATATACCCCACGCTTCAGTTTGCTAATTGTGAGCTTTTAGGAACGTGTATATTTTAAAAATAAAACAAATAATTGTATATTACATACAAACAAACAAATATGAATAATCACTAAATAATCACACACCAGCTCTCCCTAAGATTTAGAAGCCTAGCATTTTGAAGTGAACGTTCTTGAAATGCGTTTTTTCTGGCCCTTTCAATGGCTGCACTATAGGCTAGATTTGGATTTTCTCGTCTCAATCTTTCTGCGTCCTTATCAAGTATTTTATAAGCTTTAGAGTACAGTGGGTGTTCATAATAAACCGCATCTTTGTTCCTGCTAATAAGGTTTTCGAGCTCCTCGTCGAAATGATTTATCAACATTTGATCAACATTTCTATTATTTCCAAAACTAAGATATCTGTCGTTACATTTTGCACAGAGTCCTCTTATCTCCTTTGACTCCCTTATCAAATCTGGGACTTCTTCATTCTCAGCATGAGTGAAAACGACGATTGCGTATTTATAAGTTTTATCTTTTAGCAAATTTTCAAAATCCTTAAACATTTCTACATCAGACTGTTGTATTCTTTGTTCTGCAGATATAACGTAAACAATGGCATGGAATCCGGGAGATGTTACATACAAACACAGCTTCAAGTTATTTCGGAATCGGTCTCTATCTCTGTGTAATCCCTGAGCCCCTGGTGTATCAAAGACTACATATTTTTTATTATTCCTTTCAACACTTTCATATGCACACACTTCAGTCACGGGCCTAAAACTTTTTCTGCTTTTAAAAACATTTCTACCTATTATTGCGTTCCCAGTGGCACTTTTACCAGATCCAACCTTTCCTAGAAGAAGTACCCTCCTCTCTTTCGAAACATCTCCTGAAAACAACAAAGAGAAACACAATTGATAAAAAAACAATCATATCATTTAACAACAAACAAACTAATGAATTTAGTTCATCTTGATGAAAGGAACTTGAGGAGTAAACTATTCCAAATACTGAAGCCGTAAAATTTTTTTTTTAATTAAAATCTTATACATTTACCATCTAAATTTTATGAAGATCTAGAAAAATTGACAATGTCGCCTGTACAACATCACTATCTTTTGATATACTTATATTCGTAGATTTAAAAAAAAATTGCGCTTTTAAACTGATTTATTTCTTATATGTTTTAGACTTTTTAAAAAAAAAATTTTATTGTTTCATTTGCCAGAAATTATTGGAGAATTTTGAGAAAGATGGGAAGTGAGAAAACAGGAAAATGTAGAGTATTGAAGAATTTGCAGATACTGCTGTTATTTTAATGAAATTGAAACAAAAGAAATTGATAAAATCTTAACACCCTTCCCTACAGTCATTTTCACGCAAAACCATTTCCTATTTCCAACACAAAATCCCGCGTATACCGTTTCCCTGCAATCACGCATTTTTCACGCACTTTCAAAGGTTCATTATTCTTCCATTTAAGGACAGATGATTCAAACAAAAATAAATGCCTGGGTTGGTATAAATTTTTCGGTCTAATTTCATTGCAAATGATGCACATTATAAATTTCTAGAATATAAAGAAATTGTAAACCTTCTATAATGTTTAAAAGTCTGCCCTTCTAGATCTGAAACCATCCTTATTAATCTATACAAATATTTTTCACTTCAAATTCCATTTTTTGTAAAAAAAAAAAAAAGAAAAGAAAAAGCGATATATGGTAAATGTCTCAATTGGCCCCTTAAAATGGATATCTTAATTTTACTTTATATATAGCTTTAATTTGTACAGCTATATAATTGTGCAACCTTTATTGGTCATTTTAATTTTGATCGTAATGTCGTTAATTTAGAAATATGACATCATAAAATTCACGTTTTCCCGCCATTTTAGCATATTTTGTATATACTGCTTATTTTCAAGCAGTTTTTTTTCCAGAAAATATAGAGCACAGCCTAGAATAAGCTTTATATTTTAACCAAAGATGTATCTATCCAATACTAATTAGTGACAGAAAAATGATGCATGTTATACACCATCAAGAAAAAGGCATATTGTTGGCTTTTATGTTAGATAGCAAAAATAGCATTATTTCTCATGTCATTTACAAAAAGTGAGTGCATATAAATGTGAAAAATATATTGGAAATATTTCTAATATAATCTCTTCTGCAAAATAAATATCAATAAAACATATCTGAATGTCATTCTAAAATGTTGATTTTTAGGGGGCCAAAATTGGCTCTTATCATATATACTCCTTTGAATAACAAATTTAAAACTATGCGGAAAAAGTTATTCATTTTACTCATTTAAACATGACCCAAATTGTTATTTTCACATTTTTTGACAAAAGTTTGTATCATCTGTCCTTAATACCATTTCCCATTTATTTTATACTTGCTTAAATCTCATAAATAAGAAAAGATATAATCTTTGAAATATTATGTCATAATTATTTACGCTAAATTTTAGAGAAACCTGTACCGCGCTTTAAAGTTCTTGCGGGGGAAAGGTTATGTAATATTTTTATGTCGTGGACATTACGAGAGCTGTTCGCAAATTATTGAGACACTCACTTTTACTTCATTAAGGAGAAAGATTAATTCATGAAAATTGATCAACATTTTACGAAGAACGAATAAGATAAAAATAATCTAATTTCTAGAATAATAACATAATTTCTGGTGAATTTATAGACATGCATATGTATAAGGACCTGAAGCAGACTCGCTACATCTTTGAAAGTCATTTCAGCCGGAGGTGTTTTCGCATATGAAACGATCGTAAAGCGTTTACTCTTCTCTGTTTGTTATCACATATACCATTACAAAAATCAAACTGTCACTTTTCTTAAACGATTCTTTAAAATAAAAATATGTGATGTTGCTAAATCAGTAGAAAATTTTCATGTGTGGGACACAATGACTTTGCATCATGCAGTGCCGATTATGCAACGCGGGTCAACAATATTACTGGTGTTGTAGGATAGGATCCCCCATAGCCAGTTTCCCCCCGGATATCGTACTCCAGAGTAGGAACCCCCCCGAGGGAAAAATCTCACACCAGAGCCAAAATTTCCCCCTCTTTCTTTCTCAGAGTGGGATTTTCCCCCTCGTTATAGAATCCATATAAACCACAGCCGCAAAATTTTTGAGAAAAAAGATAAACGGCAAACTGATTTTTAAAAGGTAAATGAGTGTTTTTCGAATCTTGAAAAAATGTTCTGAGCATATATATATTTCAATGTCAGTCAAAAGCTCATTAGAGCTGTGTTATTTTTAAACTACCATACTGACTTTAATAAATAAAGTTTTTCTTATCTTCAAATCATGGAATCTCAACCAAAAACATTTATCTTTCAAAAGAACTGTAAATATTCTCAAAATATGATGAAACAAACAAAAAATGGAGTTCTGGATTGGTATATATTTTGAAGGGGAACGAAATGCAAACTTGAAATGTACCTACCAAAAATTAGCTCAATATCTCCAATCGTTTAAAAAACATTGCGGAAAACCGCTAAAAAATGAAAAGGTCTTGATTCCTTTAAAGCCGCTTAACCCGAAACAGGCACATATTATCTTACACAATAAAAGTACGTCATTACATAGATAATATATAAAAATAAATTATAAGATTGATTTAATAGTTTATTACAACAATTCTCAGATCAAAAACCTTATTGACAAACAGTAGTTCCTGACGGAAGGTTAAGATCTGTTGTGAAGTCAATTTTGAAAAAAAATAAGTTTATTGGATATATCTAATAATGAGGGTAATTCAAACCCGAGTATTTTTTTCTCTATTATTAGAAGCCTTAGTCATAATACTTCTTTTCAAAATTAAGAACTTAATGGAATATAATCCATAGTAATTTTTATATTAATATGCATATTTAAAGAATAAAGGAAAATCAGATGTTTTAAATGATTTTTTAAACGAGCTAAAATATTGTCCGTGTACAGGTAATATATGTACTTTGTTGTGAAAAAAAATGCTCGGGTGTGTTCTTCATGAGATAAACATGATAAATTTAATTTTTCGAAGGTGATTTCACGCGATATCAACAATGATCAACATAGGATTATTTTTTGTGTGACCTAACAAAAATTATTTTTTTAACTTTTGAATTTTGATATCTTTTAAAAGAAAAGGACTTTGGGGATATAATTTGACAAAAGTTGAAACAATTTATGGACACTTATTTTTCAAGAAGAAAATTGAATATGTATTTTTAGCGATTAGAATGGGACCAAGCGGCTTTAAAAATTGAAGCAAAACAAAACTCAAACTTGATCTCATCAACATATATACTCTTATACCACAAATCAGCTCAATGTCTTCAAGCATTTAGAAAAAAAGTGCGGAAAACTAATTGAGACACACAGAGTGACAGGTAGACAGACAGACGGACGGACAGACGCAGATGAAACTTATTGTCCTATCCATTTTCATCATTTTTTTTTATTAAAAAAATATTTTGACGGTAGCTGAGAAAAATTGGATTTAAATTTCCATGTTCATTTTTCAGGTACGTTATATTCAATACACATGGTCGCCATTTTGAAGAAGTGACACTTGTAGCAATGTGCCAACCATTCCTCCTCAGGAATAAGTAAAGCAAGTATATTCCGGGGGGGGGGGGGGTGCTCTGGGGGAAATCGCACTCTATACATGTAACTACTACACAGAATAGGATTACCCCAAGAAAATTGACTCTGGTGTGATTTCCTGGGGAGAAAAGTTGAAAAGTTATATACGTATTTAGGGGTATACCGGGAGTTTTTAACGTTGGCGTTGCATATTTTCAATATTTGATTTTGGGACTGATCCAGGTACTCCTACCATTGACACACATATATATATAGTATTGAAAAAAGGAAATTTAATATTTGTAAAACATTTCTTGCTTTTATTAATTCTTAGTCTTTGTCAAATGTATACGCAAATTTTTTTCGGCAAGACGTTTATTAGAAAGAAAAATATACACCATGTCTCAATAATTTCCGAACAGCCCTCGTAAATGTATGTTGCGTCACAGTGCAGTAAGTTGTAAAGAGTTAATATTTAAATACAAAATTAAAATCATCTTTTATGTTCATGTATAGAGTAATTTTATAGATATCAAGATAACCTTCACTACATCGGCTTTCGTCCGTACTTGTCGCAAAATCATGAAGACCAATATTGTCCCAGCTTTGATTCAATCCAGATTTCCCTTTGAAATAAAAGACACATGCAATGAATTCCAGTTACATAGAAATTTTGTTTTGCATTTCGAAAACAGATGTGCATAAAAACAAAAAATTTATTACAGACATATGCAACATAGCTTTAAAATAACTTTATAGTTTACTGTTTTTATGTTAGTATAAATTAATATACCCCACGCTTGAAAACCGGGAGGGTATATACATGTAGTAATCGGGATGTCCGTCCGTCCGTCTGTTACTCTTTGGGGTACCTATCTCTTATCCGCAACTCCTCTTTTATCAATGAATGAAATTTAATGAGACTTTCACAGAATTTTTATTACATATTGCCGTTGTGACCTCTTATTTTATTTTTTGATCCGACACACGTTTTATTTCCGGTCTACAAGCAAAACAGGGACTTTTTCATTATAATCAGATGGAAGGCGGGACTACCAATTAGTGACCTCTTGCTCTTTGATGAGTGTTAACATGATAACAAGACCAACTGATCATTTCCAATGAACCGCCCTAACAAAAAAATACTATACATGTAGTTAACTATAGTTAATTATAGTTTACTATAGCTAACTATAGTAAATCAAAGTGTCAAAGTTTCCGCCAAAGTTTTTCAAAGTGTCAAAGTTTTTGCCAAAGTTTTTCAAAGTGTCAAAGTTTTCGTCAAAGTTTTTCAAAGTGTCAAAGTTTTTGCCAAAGTTTTTCAAAGTGTCAAAGTTTTTGCCAAAGTTTTTCAAAGTGTCAAAGTTTTCGCCAAAGTTTTTCAAAGTGTTAAAGTTTTCACCAAAGTTTTTGAAAATGTCAACGTTTTGGACAAAGTTTTTCAAATTGTCAACGTTTTGGACAAAGTTTTTCAAAGTGTCAAAGTTTTCGTCAAAGTTTTTTAAAGTGCCAAAGTTTTTGAAGTTTTTTTAAGCATCAAAGTTTTGAATAAACTTTTTCAACGTGTCTAAGTTTTCAACAAAGTTGTTCAAAGTGTCAAAGTTTTCAACAAAGTTGTTCAAAGTGTCAAAGTTTTAGCCAAAGTTTTTCAAAGTGTCAAAGTTTTCGTCAAAGTTTTTTAAAGTGCCAAAGTTTTTGAAGTTTTTTTAAGCATCAAAGTTTTGAATAAACTTTTTCAACGTGTCTAAGTTTTCAACAAAGTTGTTCAAAGTGTCAAAGTTTTTGCCAAAGTTTTTCAAAGTGTCAAAGTTTTCGATAAAGTTTTTCAAAGTTTCAAAGTTTTCAATAAAGTTTTTCAAAGTGTCAGCGTCTTCGATAAAGTTTTTCAAAGTGTTAAAGTATCAAAGTTTTTGATAAAGTTTTTATAAGTATCAAAATAAGTATCAAAGTTTTTGATAAGTTTTTTTAAGTATCAAAGTTTTGGATAAAGTTTTTTGAAGTATCAAAGTTTTGTATAACGTTTTTTGAAGTATCAAAGTTTTGGATAAAGTTTTTCAAAGTGTCAAAGTTTTTGATAAAATTTTTCAAAGTGTCAAAGTTTTCGATAAAGTTTTTGCAAAGTGTCAAAGTTTTCGATAAAGTTTTTCAAAGTGTCAAAGTTTTCGCCAAAGTTTTTCAAAGTGTCAAAGTTTTTGATAAAGATTTCAAATTGTCAAAGTTTTTGATAAAGATTTCAAAGTGTCAAAGTTTTTGATAAAGTTTTCAAAGTGTCAACGTTTTTGATAAAGTTTTCAAAGTGTCAACGTTTTTGATAAAGTTTTCAAAGTGTCAAAGTTTTCGATAAAGTTTTCAAAGTGTCAAATTTTTCGATAAAGTTTTTCAAAGTGTCAAAGTTTTCAATAAAGTTTTTCAAAGTGTTAAAGTCTTCAATTAAGTTTTTCAAGGTGGTAAAGTATCAAAGTTTTGGATAAAAGTTTTTTAAGTATCAAAATTTTGGATAGTTTTTTGAAGTATCAAAGTTTTGGATAAAGTTTTTCAAAGTGTCAAAGTTTTCGATAAAGTTTTTCAAAGTGTCAAAGTTTTCGATAAAGTTTTTCAAAGTGTCAAAGTTTCCGCCAAAGTTTTTCAAAGTGTCAAAGTTTCCGCCAAAGTTTTTCAAAGTGTCAAAGTTTTCGCCAAAGTTTTTCAAAGTGTCAAAGTTTTCGCCAAAGTTTTTCAAAGTGTCAAAGTTTTCGATAAAGTTTCTCAAAGTGACAAAGTTTTTGCCAAAGATTTTCAAAGTGTCAAAGTTTTTGCTAAAGTTTTTCAAAGTGTCAAAGTTTTCGTCAAGATTTTAAAATGCCAAAGTTTTTAAAGTTTTTTTAAGCATCAAAGTTTTGAATTAACTTTTTCAAAGTGTCTAAGTTTTCAACAAACTTTTTCAAAGTGTCAAAGTTTTTGCCAAAATTTTTGAAAGTGTCAAAGTTTTCGATAAAGTTTTTCAAAGTGTTAAAGTATCACCATTTTCGATAAAGTTTTTATAAGTATCAAAGTTTTGGATAAAGTTTTTTTAAGTATCAAAGTTTTAGATAAAGTTTTTCAAAGCATCAAAGTTTGCGATAAAGTTTTTCAAAGTGTCAAAGTTTTAGATAAAGTTTTTTCAAAGTGTCAAAGTTTCCGCCAAAGTTTTTCAAAGTGTCAAAGTTTTTGCCAAAGTTTTTCAAAGTGTCAAAGTTTTCGCCAAAGTTTTTCAAAGTGTCAAAGTTTTTGCCAAAGTTTTTCAAAGTGTCAAAGTTTTCGCCAAAGTTTTTCAAAGTGTTAAAGTTTTCGCCAAAGTTTTTCAAAGTGTCAAAGTTTTGGACAAAGTTTTTCAAAGTGTCATTGTCTTCGATAAAGTTTTTCAAAGTGTTAAAGTATCAAAGTTTTTGATAAAGTTTTTATAAGTATCAAAGTTTTTGATAAAGTTTTTTTAAGTATCAAAGTTTTGGATAAAGTTTTTTGAAGTATCAAAGTTTTGGATAAAGTTTTTCAAAGTGTCAAAGTTTTGGATAAAGTTTTTCAAAGTGTCAAAGTTTTCGCCAAAATTTTTCAAAGTGTCAAAGTTTTTGATAAAGATTTCAAAGTGTCAAAGTTTTTGATAAAGATTTCAAAGTGTCAAAGTTTTTGATAAAGTTTTCAAAGTGTCAAAGTTTTTGATAAAGTTTTTCAAAGTGTCAAAGTTTTCAATAAAGTTTTTCAAAGTGTCAAAGTCTTCAATTAAGGTTTTCAAAGTGGTAAAGTATCAAAGTTTTGGATAAAAGTTTTTTAAGTATCAAAGTTTTGGATAAAGTTTTTTGAAGTATCAAAGTTTTGGATAAAGTTTTTCAAAGTGTCAAAGTTTTGGATAAAGTTTTTCAAAGTGTCAAAGTTTTCGATACAGTTTTTCAAAGTGTCAAAGTTTCAACCAAAGTTTTTCAAAGTGTCAAGTTTCCGCCAAAGTTTTTCAAAGTGTCAAAGTTTCCGCCAAAGTTTTTCAAAGTGTCAAAGTTTTCGTCAAAGTTTTTCAAAGTGTCAAAGTTTTTGCCAAAGTTTTTCAAAGTTTCAAAGTTTTCGTCAAAGTTTTTCAAAGTGTCAAAGTTTTCGCCAAAGATTTTCAAAGTGTCAATGTTTTTGCCAAAGTTTTTCAAAGTGTCAAAGTATTCGTCAAAGTTTTTCAAAGTGTCAAAGTTATCACTATAGTAAATCAAAGTTTTCAAAGCGTCAAAGTTTTAACTTTAGTTAACTTTTGTAAACTATAGTTAACTATAGTTTACTATAGTATTTTTTGTTAGGGCGTTCACGGTAGCTCAGTCGGTAGAGCGCTCGCTCCGTGATCGGGAGGTCGTGAGTTCGTATCTCGGCCGCGACTGACCTAGTCGATAAAATGAGTAGCAGGTTATGACTGTTCCTTCGCCATGGTGAAAGTTGCGGGCCTTCGAATGAGACCTTAAAAACCGGGGCCCCGTGTCAGCGGCAAGCGTTGACACGATAAAGATCCCTCACTGCTCAATGGCCCTGAGTGCCGAGTAAAGGTCAAGATTTGAAGCCCTTCACCGGCATACGGTGACGTCTCCATACGAGTGAAGACGTTAAATAATATACAATCAATCAATTCCAATGCTATTTTTATAAAATGGGCTTATAGTATAATTATTTCTCCAAGTTTTAACAAAATCGGCGAGAGTCAATATCCTGCCCATTTTGATGCTTGCAGAGAATGACTCTTAATAATTCTATAGCTTGGTATATGTTTTTAATGAATGTAAATTAATATGATTGTGTAAAGCAGTTTAAATAATTTGAAACTTATTTCTTACTTTTTAAATATATTTTTAAAGATACAATGCATTTAGTGCTATTTTTCAGCGCATACAAAAGACCAGAGGAATGTGATTATGTGAATGATGTAATTATTGTGCAAAAGAGTTCATATTAAACAAACCGCCACTTAAAAAAGTACAGTGAATAATGATTCATATTTTTCGTTTTGGTTAATGAAAACGAGGCAGGACACATGTTAAATAACTCTCTACTTGACCAGTAAACACAAAGAATAGAAACTATGTACATGTATCTCCCCATACTCCACTGATATAATCAAAAATAGGTGAGACTCCGCTCAGATATATTTTCTCATATTTTGAATCCTATTGATTTATTTGACTGTATTTTGTATGTAATAGCTCTTACTGCACGTCCACCTGATTTTGCAAGATTTTCTGTGTTCTTCTTAAATGTGGTAAATTCGTCAAACAAAACACCAAAATTCTTATACGATGATAAATACTCAATACGATATTCCCCTAATTAATGCCTAGGTCACATTTCCCGGCCGGTAGCCGTAGACCGGTGGTAATCGGTGGTAATCCGTGGTCTTAGCGATGCCCCAACATCGATCCACATCGGCCTAGTAGTCCTTAAAGTATCAGTCACATTATCCAGCGATGGGTAAACGATGGGCAACCAATGCGTTTTATGATAAAAATGGTGTGGTTGCCCGCCGGACTTACAAAGGCCCAGCGATGCATTGCTAATAAAAAAACGATGTTCCAGGATAATCGGCCGATGTATATTAAATCGCTCATACAGTGGTGAACATTGTTCGTACAACGGTCGACTACGGGCCAAT